GAATAAGACATGGCAGAGGTGGCAGTCAACACTCTGTCAGAAGAGTCGCTACTCTTCATTCTCATGGGATATCATGAGCAAGCTATTCGCCGCAAGAGGAGATTGGTATCTGCTTAATCCACACTACTCGCAAGCCAACAGCAGTTGATGGACATAACTGGACAGTGCCGGAATGGGAGAAGAACACCCATTCTGATCATTGCAGTGAGACGCGGTGGCAAGAATTCTAGAACTCGCGAGTGGTGAGCCGCTGACGCTGGCGTGCGTTCTTTATTCTTGTCGGTATTCAACCTTTGTCCGTGCATAAAACCAAATCAAATGCATCGGTAGAGAAGGAACTTCATGCACAAACCCCGCTCCTTCCTGGCTTTTCCAGCATAGAATGTTCAGAGATGTTCAGAGAAGCGAAGAAAGCAAAGCTTGGGGAATTTGCGCAAACAAACAGGAGCAAATAAAGCCAAAGAATACGTCTTAGCCGGTTGTAACGAAGATTTGGAGCCTAAAGGCCTAAAGACCTTCTCTTCGGATACATCGGGAACACTGTGTTGCGACTTGAGTCGAATCTTGCATTTTTGCATGTTGCTTACTTTAGGTTTATATATCATAAAATATCCATAATTTCCAGAATCGATTTGAAGATTCCACGTTTGCTTTCTGACTTCTCTGCCTGTGTGAACCGTGAACAGCCACTGGATTGCTGTTCTCGAACGCTCAAGGCTCTTGACTTCGATGGCCCAAGATTAAGCCCAGTCTGAGCTCACTGCATATTCCATGGAAATGGGAACTAATGGAACTAATGGAACTAATCTACTTTTCATGCTGGAAAAAACACAACGGACTGGTGTATGAGATACGCGGTAGGCTATACTTGGCAACGACTGGGTGCGATTGGAATCTTTGAGGCCCTTGTCAGCCATTGCCTTGACTTCCAAGTCCGTCTCTTAAGTCTTAGGCCTCTCTGTAGATGTGTTTGTGCACATGAAGACAGGCTGGAGCCATAGATTGCATAGATGCACAAATGAATCCGTCCAAGCAGGACCGTTCGGAAACTCACGCAATATGAAGAAGATGCAAACGCTGGCAAACACTGGCCAAACGCGCGACACACTTCCAGGTCTGCATCAGCAACGGCTTTCCAAATTCACACTTGTCTTTTGAATGGTGAAACTGATTCAAGCAATTGCATTCAACCTACCCAGGCACATACCTGACACTTTCATCTTCATATTATGCGGCTTCAGAATTCACCAAATTGATTCGAAGGCCAGCGGGGCACCTTGATCAAACGCATTGAAAGGCGCTCGTGAAATATAGGGATTGATCGGATGGCAAGACTTTTGGGGAATTCGAAAGCACAAATGCTCTTGGCTGCTCTTGGCTGCTCTTGACAAGGACGGGAATAAACTAAGATAAACTAAGAGCCGGGCGCACCAAAAATTCAAGCAATTGGTTGACCAGCCACGGTCAAACACATTCCTTTCATCAGCGCAGCCCGCGCACCAATCAAGCTGCAAAAATTGTTCACACTGAAGAAGCTCAAGTTCATTAACACAAATGCATTGTCTAGATTCTAGACGCTGCCCAAGCAACAACGATGGGTCGTATTCAAATCTATCCTCATCCAAGCCTGTTGCATACACACTAAAGTTCACCAAAGTTTGACCGTATCTGGGGCGGTGCATGCACATTTCACGCTTCCTGGCATTGCCGGCCTGCATTAAACTCTGCATCGTCCAGTTCATTGACCTGTACTGCCGTTCCAGTCCTTGAAACAAGTCAAGGACTGGGAAAAGTCATCAATTTTGAGAGCAATTGCTTTGCAATGGCAGGCGGTTTGAATGACTTGCAGTGTAACCACGAATGGTGAAACTCTCAAGAGGCGAATGAACTTTGTGTAGCTTCACCAGCACTTACTGACAGGCAACATTGAATTCCAGACCAGCGACGCATCTCTGACCACTTGAAAGAGATTATGCTTGTACTCATTGGCAAGCTCATTCCTGGATGGCTGACATGCTGTGAACATGTTTCATAAAATTATCTTCGCAAGACAGCTTGCGTTCAGAGGTGTGCCAGTTTTCCGTGCTCCTGGATACAAACGTGATGTGCAAGCGCAGGATTGGTCCAGTCAAGAGCGACAGAATAACGGAGTACCTTGCCAAAACCAAGCTGCACAAAAAAGAGTCAAAAAATGTTGTAACTCGGTGGAACTGGAGCTTGCGTTTTTTGGCAGACAGAAAAGCATTGCTCACGAAAAGCCAAGGAGCGTTAGGTGCATTATCAACAAGAAGCCAGTAAAATGCCTCCCTTCACTCGAGGTCCAAACTACCAAAATAAAGTCCACCAAGCATCCGCCAAGACCAATTGTCAGGAGCCCAGCCAGCATCAAGACAAACTCTCGGTGGTTCAGCAGTCCCACTGCATTGGTCAACCAGCGACAGTAGTGATCGTATCTTCGAATTGGTTGCTTGAACAACCACATCTTATGACATCTCCTTGGAAGCTCCCCTGATGCGTGCGTCTGTACAAAGACCTCCATCTCTTTCACTGGAAGTTTGCCAGGATCACAAAGCACGCAGTAGACCAAGCAACTGAGCGTCATGACATAAATGCATAAGAAGAAAGCCCGGATTGAATAGCCCCAAGATAATTCATCTCTGATAAGTGGAAATTGAATCATCAACATGTGCAAAGCACCAATCAGCGTGGTCCCGAAAAGCATTAGGGGAAGGTAGGGGCGCTTGTCGTTGCCAAAGCAGTCAACACTATCAGCAGGCGGTTTGCGTTCATCACCACATTCGTCCGCATCGCACTCCTCCTCTGCACATTGTTGCTCTTGAGGATCCGCGCAGGATGCAGCAGATGCACTCCTTGGAGGTCTATGTGTGCCAGATGCTAGCCGTGACAAACGCGGCGCGCTTTGCACACTTTCACCCCTTTCACTTGCTACACCTCCCACAGTTTTGGGTCGACCTGGAACTGGCAATGTGCTTGCAACGCCTGGTTCTGCTCCAGGTTCGTCCAACAGACCTTCTCGTCCAGATTTATCTTTCTGATCTGTTTTGCCTCTCATTCCAACCACGCCATGGCTTCGCAGCTACAGCTTTGTTGGTACTGGGTGGAACGCTCAAATGATGGTGGCTTGAACTGTTTACAATTTACATGCATGTTGAAATTCCCAAACTGAACTTCCTAAACCTCTAGGGAGGAAGCGTCAACAACCTGTAGGGTGGTGATCAAAAGGCTCGACTTGTTTAGAGCTTCAGCTGTTCCGATGCTTGTGCATGCCCATGCTTGCAAATAGCAGAGTTTTGCTGAATGCAGAATAGAGAAATAGCGGCTTTTCGATCTCCAAGATAAAAACTTGTGGAGCACTGAGTCTCGACCCCCATCAGTCCAAGAACTTTTTTGTTCTGTTGGCCGCTTTCGACATCTCCCGATGCCTCCCATACCTCCCCCTCCCACACTTGGTGTGATCAGTGTGATATTTTTTTCAAAGAACAAGCCTACAATGAAAAATCCAAAACACAGGGTGCATTGGAAGCTTTGGGAAGCATTGACCGCGAATTTGCCTAGCTCCGTACAAACCACGGATGGAACTCTCTACATTGCCCTCCACAGGTGTAGCTTGAAACCGCAGCCATTTCCAGGCACTCGAAACCTTTAAAAATGAGAGCCTTGGACCCCTGCGCTGTTCAGGCATGTAGGGAACAGGCGAGCTGCAGCTAGACTACACTGCACCTCTTGGAATGCATTGCATTATGTGGAACCGGTTCGCAGACGTTTCTTAGATGGGATTATATGGGCAAAGAACCACCGCCAAGACCTTGAAGTGGAAGCTGATCCAAGAAATTCCTCAACAGGCCAAGGAAAATGATCACAACTTGAAACAAGCTCAGATGTTCACAAATCCCATGTGCAAGCAAAGCGTCACAGGCTGTCCGGCACTTGCGGGCTGGCCACCCAAAAAGCCTTGTCGCGCCTCAGCGGTCAGGCACCATAGCCCAAATCAACAAAATAGAAATTGGCGGCAGGCCTGAATGTTTGCAAACGATTTGCACTGCAACAACATGGGTGCGGTTCTGCAGCACAGCACCGTCACACAGTTCTAAGCCTGCCTGGCTTTTGAGAAGGTAGAACCCCAGAAAGCACCCAGGCAGCATCTGATTCCCGAATGCATAGCAATTTGCTAGACGTTGCGCAACCGTCCGCAACCGTTTGCAACCGTTCGCCACCGTCCGTGTGAGGTCTGCCTGTGGGGAATGCTGCAGAAGCGGTCATTTTTGGAGGTTCAAACGTCGTGTAACGTCGTTTCAGGCGTGGCACTTTGTGGCATCGCAACATGTTTCACATATCGCAAATCATCTCAACATGTTTCAGAACGCGTCAAAAGTCGTTCTGTGCGACAGGCGCAATGCTTTTGCGAGGTTTTCAGAAGATGACCTGCATTTTTCGTGGCAGGCGCAGCACTTTGGAGACGTCCATCGTCATTTTGCCTGGCAGGCGCGGCACTTTAGACGTGTCGTGTTGCGTTTTTCTGCGAATCGCATTGTCGGGGCTGCATCAAGTGGTGACAACGTGCAAATTGCGTGGCAGGCGTGGGACATCGTGAGGGTCGTTCTGCGTGGCAGGCGCAGCATCTGGTGAAGATCCGGCGCGTGTGGAATGTCATTCTGCGTGGCAAGCGCTGTATTTGGGACACTTTCGTGATTGCACTTGCCGCTTTCCGCATTGGCGCGGCTGTGTGAGGTGCGATGTTTCCTTCGCCTTTCGTGCCAGTTTGCGTGGCAGGCGCAGTACTTGGTGATGTTGTAGCTTGTGTAGCAATACATTGAACATTTCACATTCCACTACACATTCTACACTCCACACTATAAAACTGCACAGTTGACATTCCACATCCGCAATCCACACTCTACAATCTACACTTTACACTCCGCACTTTACACTCCCCACTTTACACTCTACAGTCCACACTCTACACTCCACACTCTACACTTTACATTTTTCTACACTTCACACTTTACACTTGAAACTCCACACTTTGCACTTGTCACTTCGCACTCTACACTCCACACTCTACACTTTACACCCTACACTTCACACTTCGCACTTGACACTTGACACTCCACACTCTACACTCTGCACTTTACACTACACACTCCACACTCTACACTTTACACTTTACACCTTCACACTTTACACTTTACACTCCACACTTCACACTCTACACTTTACACTTTACACTCCACACTTCACATTTCAAACGGGTCTGGAATTGGTTTGGGTTTTTCCCCGTTTTGGGAAGTTTTTGGTGGATTTCCTGTTCTGTCCATTTTCCTGGTTTTTTGCGGCATTTTGGACCTGGAAGCTACCATTTCCACTGTATTTGCAGCATTTCAGAGTTCGAACCTATATATAGGGGCTCCGTTCCTGGCAGAAGGCCCCAAGCAGAGAAGGAGACAGGGAAAGGGGGATTTATCTAGAGCTGGCGTAGGACCTATTCAGGGCTGGTTTAAAGTTTATTTCGCGTTGGTTTAGTATTTAGGCTTGGTTTGAAATCTATTTAGGTTGGTGTGAAGTTTATTTTGGCATATTTAGGCTTGGGTTAACACATATATATTAGGGTTGGTTTAGGATCTATTTAGGGTTGGTTTAGGGTTGATTCAGGATTAGCTTCAGATTTTTAAGGGAGTGTTTAGGATTTAGATGGATTTAGTTAGAGCTGCTTCATATGGTTTATGTGTTGCATGATGCTTCTTAGGGTATCTACAATATGAGAAACAAAAAAAGCACGGAAAAGCATAAAAGCAGGTAAGCAAAGAAACGCTGAAAGCAGAGAAGCAGGGAAGCTGGAAAAGCAGAAAAGCAGGGAGAAGCAGAAAAGCGGAGAAGCAGAGAGGCAAAGAAGCAAAAAAACAAAAGCACAAAAGCAGAAATTCAAAGAAGCAGAGAAGCGAAGAAGCAGAAAGGCAGAAGCAGAAAAGCAGGAAAACGCAGAAAGCAGAGAAGCAGGCAAGCAGGCAAGCAGGGAAAAGCGGAGAAGCAAAGAAGCAGGGAAAAGCAGAGAAGCTGGGAATCAGAAATCCAAAAGAAACAAAATGGGAAAAAAACATAAATAAATAGCCCTCCCTTTACACTTGACTCTCCACGCCCTACGTTACACTATACACTTTGCACCCCACACTTCGCACCTTACACTTTACACTGTACACTCTACACTTTACACTCTACACTTCACACTTCGCACTTGACACTACACGCTCCACACTCCACACTCTACACTTTACACTTTACACCTTCACACTTTACACTTTACACTCCACACTTCACGCTTTACACTCCACACTCTACACTTTCCACTTTACACTCCATACTCTACACTGTACACGGTACCAGTACACTTTACACTCCACACTCTGCCCTCTCTATGTGTTTCGGCATCTGTCCCAGTAACATACGCGTGAGCTTTCGGATTCGTGGGCTGCATCTGGTTTTTTTCAATCAACTGAATTCTAAAGACTTCTCTGGGGCCTCTTCAAGTCGCCCAAAAAATTCACCCAACCTGAAGAGGAAATTTATGAAGGCTGCAACACAGATCGAATTCCAGGAGTGTGTTTTGTCGTATCTTGCAGCAATAGAGCCTTCACTACCCGTAGCAAGAGGCCTAAAGGAAGCAGGGGCCAAAGGGGAAGGATGTGGATTGTAGGCCTACTTGGCTGGTGGGTTGATTCGTTCGTTGCTTGCAGGATCGTCTCATTGATTTGTTCGCTTGCTTCGTTAAGTGATTGGTTTTCATTGATTGATTGTGGGAAAGAATGTGTACTTGATCGTGTTCTTGGCAAGCACTTGCAACTTGTCTTGGAACGTGTATGACCTTGTATTCTTGTATGGACGAGGGCGTGAGGTTTGAAATGGACAGGTGCTAGTGTGTTGATAGGTCCCGAGTTTTGCCATGTTATGGTTTGACTGTATTGGAATAGTTCCTCAAAGCTTTTCGATGAGGTAATTGCTAGGGCACTGCTGCGTCTTACATGCTTGCACCCTTGGATTGGAAATGCTACGCCGCTGTGCTCCGCTTGAGCACGAAAACACACATTTGGACAAGACAGTGGTCCCATTTGGGGCAAATTTTGGTTGCGCTTCACATCAGCACAAAACGACAAGACTTTTGTCGAACAAGATGGGTCTCTCTTGCGTTGATTGCAAGACTTTGCAAAAAGATCAACTATCAGCAAAATGAATGGCGAAACGAGAATTGCCATCCATTGAAAGTAAGCTTTCTAAAACCATACTGCAACGCCCTTGCAACCAGATGTGACAGAGAAAACCACCCAATGAAAGATGTTCTCGCGCCGGCTCTTGTCGTAGCCGGATGGCATTTCAATGACAGAAAATGGAGCAAGCAACCAGAACTGATCAGATTGTGCATCCCATGAAATCCAATAGCTTCGTCGGACTTGGTTTTGGATTGTGTGCCACGTCCCCCTGCTCGAAAGCATTGGTTTTACCCAACAAACACATGCACACATGTCCGCAAATTGGAAGTATCTCTCCCGATTCTCGTTGAATCATACGTGGAGGGCTGGAATTGCAACGCAACTCAATGCAATCAAGTTCAAGTAGGAGTCCAAGGAATAAATCCGAAGGTGCCGAGGCGTGATAGTTTAGCAGTGGATGCGCGACAGATCCGTCAGACTGGTACAGCTTCTGAGGGGGGCCATGTTTGCCCGGGACAGGGTGCCAAAAGTCGGTTCCCCGGCTGTGGTAATTTGCATATTTCACAGACCAACATCGGCCAAATGCACCGGTTTAATCCGATATGGCCCAACTTGGCTCCAACATGGCGCAACTTGGCCCCAAGTTGGACCCGTTTGGGAGCAACTTCGGCCCAGGTTGAGCTCCACATGGCTTCAAAATGGGGGACATGGCCGGCCCAATACGAAATCAAAACAACCGTTTTCATTGGTATTTCCCACGTTTTTTGGGCATCAATGACGCTTCGTGATGAGCAATGTTCCCCATCCAATTCCCTGGGCGCGGGCGGTTCTCGTCGCAAAGCGACTCGAATACTTTCCAGTTGCGCAAGACTCCCACCTCTAGATATCATTACCTAAACCTAAGGAAGCCTTTCCTCAAGCGGCAGGGAGCATAAAACTCGCAGCTGCCTCAAATGTGACAAGCTGCGCGTCCCCTCATGAAACTCATCAGCATCATTAGCAGCACCATCTAATTCTGTCATACAAGGTGAGACACACAAGGTGAGAATAGAATAGCTACAAAGAGTGTGATTTCAGAAGCACAGAATTCAATAATCAGGCCACTAAAGATCAGCAACATTCTTTTCAAATATATACGTACATATATATATAGAAAGAAACAAACATCTTCAAAGCCGCTGTTTTGTGCATGATCATGGAAATTTAGGCGAGCAGCGTATTCTTCGATTAAACAGAAAAGGCCCAAGTGTAAGGCGAAGCTGTGAATTCGATCCTGCAGCCAAAGGGACACAGGAGTTTCTCTGGGCAATCGCAACAACAGCAGATCAAGCTTCAATGTTCAGGATTGCAACATATTGCGACAAATATCTGGGTGTCCAGCGAGAGAATGCCGTGCCCACCTTTGGAGTGGTCCTGGCCTGTTTTGCAAAATCAATCATCAAATGCTTAGAGTGACACTGTATGAAACTTTAGCGAACTGTGACGAAATGTGTCTAAAGCTCTCAGTGGCAGATGCAGGGGGTCATCCAGGTGCAAAGGAAATCAAAGCACTGCACAAAGGGACGTTTGGTGCAGGCGGAACCACTTTTACCAGTGCAACACAGTGCTTCACAGTGCGACGCAGTACGACAGAGTGTAGTTGTACCAGTACAGGTACAGCTCTTTAACATTTGTGCAGGGCGCTGAGCATGAGAACTGCGTCAGTGGCAACCACGCACATCTTATACATCCAATCAAGTGAAACCTCACACTTGTACTATTGGTCCTGATATAGCATGCCTGATAAGGCATTGGTTGGGGATTCACAGACTGGGTATGGAAAATGCAAATGTATCCCTTAACATCAAAACGGAATAGCGCAATACATCTTACGTAAGCATGGACGAAAGGACGAGCACAAGACACAAAGGAAAGAACAAGGGCGGCAAAAGTGGATGAGTGGCTGCGCCTGAAAAGCTCGCTGATACGCAGCAATATGTCTTCAAGATGTGCTCAAACATATAGCATGTGTTGTGCCGTAGGCAAATTCCCACGCTGGCATACTTGTGCAAAGTGTAGGACTTCCTGTTCGTATTTCCTGTTATTTGTAGCCAGCATAAGTGGAAGAAAGGAAAACTTGGAAAATGCAATTATATTGGTAGCACTGCTCGCAGAGGTTCGTGCAAAGCGCGACGGTGCCATGTCACTGCAGATTAAATATCGTGAAGGACGCGCATCGTTAGGGAATGACTTGGCTAAATGATTTTTGTATGAATCTATCCATACGGCCAAGTGAAAACACCATTTCATTCATCAACAACATGTCCAAACACGTCATCAATTTTTCCATGAAGTGACTCGCCTTGAGCTATATCTAACACACCTCCCCCTTACAATATGAATGAGTCTTCAGGGTACTGATGTTGTACACGAGCAGGAGAGTTGGCCCTTTGATCAGAATGCAAGCAACAGAAAGGTTTGATCTGTTGCAGCCTAAAGACCTTGCATCCAAAGCCTTTGCTTGAAGGGAGGCCAGACCTAAGCCAACCAGGGTTTTCTTATGGATGTTATGGAAATTCAGTTTCGGCAATCAAAGTGCGGAGTGTACATTGCACATGTAAATAAACATGGTGCGATCTTAGTAAGCAAAGCTCCAGAAGCTAGCTGCGGTGCCTTTGTTGCATGGGACTACTGCCACTGGCTGAAGTTCTCTCGGGAAGCCTTGCGGGTTGACAAGGTTGGTGATAGAGCCGCCAGCGAGGCCGGTAATGGTTGAGGCACATGAGGCAACTGAGGCCTTTCAAACTGCAGGAATTGCAGGAATTGCAGGAATTGCAGGAATAGAAAAACTTTGGATCTCTTTGAGTCTCAGATCTCAGGGATGTCGCTCCTGGCTGCTGGTTTGGTGGTCTCAGGAAAGCTCCAGGCTCTCCAGCCTCCAGAATTTGCTGAGCAGAAAAAGGACTTTTAACAGCTTCGAAATGCTTCGAAATGCCTCAAAAATACCCTTTCTTGCGTTCTGATTGCAATGGGCAAGCAGAACAAAGACAAGGACCTGAGGCATTTCCTCATTGTCACACTTGCTCCATCGCTGAGGCTGCAACCGTGCACCACAAAGTGCACAGAGCAAGTACTGCCGGCGGCCACCTGCATTCACTAGACTAAGGCTTCCATTGTATTCATCGAACAATAGGCAAAAATTGAAGCCTCGGAATAGCTAGAGAAGCGATTTGTGCTGTTGTTGTCCGAATTCTGTTGCGCATCATTTCCATGTTGGCTGGAACACCTTTCCCGAACCTTTTGCACAAAATCTGCTTGGTTTATTCTCCATGGATCTGTTTCGCCTGCTGACTTTAATAGCTATATATCATTCTGCCTAAAGTGCCTTCTGGGGGGGTACCATTTCGGGAAACAACATGGTATGACCTCAACACAGGCAATGTATGTCGGGGCCTGGATCTAACACACCATGGGGTGCAATGCTCAAGCGCTTTTATGTCGCGACGAATGTCCCGCCTCGAGCTGTTATACATTGCGGTGGCTTATGGAATCCTCACATGTTGTGCCAACAACAACATCTGAATCATATGACCATGTGACATCACCTCAGATTGACACTGGTTATTCTTTTCTTTGGTCGTCAACATGTGACTTTCCGTTGACTGTTGTCTGCACCTTGCTCAGCAGACTTTGAATCAGTCAAAGCTAGCGCTGGCTGCGTTGCAAACTTGCGGAAGGCGTCTCGCAAGCTTGGGCTACGTTTGGTGAATGCATCAGCGGTTTGCTGTTCTGTTGGCACCCATCGCAAACTTCTACGGCTTTCTCTTAAAGCTGCTACATATATCTCCACTCGCTTCTCTGAGAACGTTGTGCTGCGCCCAGACGATGAATTGCATCCCACAATGACCTGGCATCGGTCACTGGAATCACTTCAAACAGCGGCACTCCAGTTGTAGCTCGATAGTCTCCAAAGACCAGCTCACGGAAGACACACGTCAGGAAATTGCCTGTGTCGAAGGCTCTGTCGAGCGATGCCGCTTCGACAAGTGTGGATCTCAAAGTCCTAGTCCTTTGATGGCGAAAGGACTTCCATTCCAAAAGGGATGCCGTCGTCAGCTGCTCCAAGTGACTAAGCCACCTTGGCTCTTGTTACCAGTTGGCCCAGCCTGGGGCATCACGGCTCAGCAATGGTACGTGCGGGTCCAAGTATCCTTGCACCACAATTCTTGCCTTTGCTTTGTGCCAGCGTCCTCCTTCTTGAGGTTTCCATCTGTAGCAGATGCGGCTTTTCAACACTAACTTGGCATCTACTCAGCCGGGTTTCGGATAAACCGGCCTGCGGCTGGCCCATTTGACCCATTCGGTCCATTCGGCCTATGTGGCCTTGACAAAGTGAGGGCGGTCCTGGGCATTGATGGAGCGCCAGGGTGTTTCCTTTTTCAAAGCTTGTTTGGCAGCTCGCCCCATTCCCTCATCACCAGCACATTCATCATCACCGCTTGACATGAGACCTGTGATGGTCTCGACTTCGGTGAACTTGGCGTCGAAGACGGGTGTGCTGGATGTCGGCCATGAAGTGCTTGCCCAAGTTGGTTGTTGATCTTGTTGGAAACGCTTGGCCTCATTATTGACCAAAGGGTCCGCAGAGGCCGTCTTCTTGTGGACAATGTCGTTGAGGAAGACGTGATAGGCGATAGGCCTTTGCGAAGCCATCGGGCTGAAAAAAGGGTTAGACTTCTGGAGGTGCGCCGTCCCAACCCGTCATCAGCACGCATTGTCGTCCATGTCGACGAAGCCAGTGTCGCTCACGTTGCAAGAGTGGACTTTTGAGATGCCGTCCATGCTCTCGGAGCCAATGCTGTTTGACTCTCATCTGCTTCGGCATCTGTGCTGATGTCGCCTTCTTGTTGTGCTTGATGAAGGCGGTCTTGGTGAGGGCAATCTCAGGCATCTCCAGCTCTTGTGTCAGGTTGTGCAAGGTTCTTCGTGTAGATCTGGGCGCGCTTTGCATTTCCACCAAGGCATTCTTCATGCTGATGTCGACCTGGACAAGGGACAGCAACTTCCTTCAAACAGCAGCCAAATCGCCTCACCATCCCGTGTCCTTCTTCAGCAAATCTCGACCTCGAAGTCCAAAATTGCACATTGAGCCTTTCTGCAGTTGAACTCCTGGAAGTTGCAGAACAGGTTGAAGTTCATCTTGCTCCCAGAACTCGGTGCCCAAGGATTCTCCAGGAGGAACCTTCTTGAGCTCCATGATCGTAGTGGCCATCTCTTGTAGAGCAAGGCGATGCTCTTGTCGAAGTTCATCCAGCTGCTCTGCAGTGTAGTTCAAGTGCTGGATGCGTGGCCATGGGCCACATCGAATTTCCCAGACCGTCAAGAAGGGTCAGTGTCGCAGCAAAAGCTGTCCCTTCATCGTAAACCACATCGTCATAGTTCTGCTCATACTCTTGGTTCTGTTCATCTTCATTCTCATAGGTCTCTTCCGGCACGTTGGGCATGGCAGTCTCATCATAGTCATAGTTGGCCTCATAGTCATCCTCACCATAGGTGTTCCAGTTGCGTCGCGCAGACTTCTGGCTGCGACGGGAACCGTAGATTGAAGCCTTCTTGCCATGCATGGAGTTGGGCAAACCAGCGACGCTCATGCCAGCAGGGTACTGAATCTTGATGGCGTCCAAGATAGCACGCATCTCAAATTTGTTGCCGGCTGCAAGGAGCAACTGGGCTGTTGCTCTTTCATCAAGACGAAGTCCATCGAGAAGCTTGATCACACAGCTCTCTTCAGGGTAAGTTGGAACACTGTTGTCCTCCAGCTTCCGCTCCAACAAAGGAAAGCGCCTCACGAAGGCTGTGATGTTCTCCTTGCAGACGGCCAATCGATTCGTATTCACGAATCACACCGCCTTGCCTGAACAAAGGCTTCTCACCGAAGGACTCCTCCAAGTCATTGAGAAGCTCCCATCTTCTTTCTTGTACTTCTCATCGGCTATCTCCAATTCAGCTTCACCACGTAGTTGTTCCCTCGCACGCAAGGCCTGCTCCTTCTTCGGCAGGAACTCAGCAGTAATCAAGCACCATCGAGTCAGGCGCAGTACGGGTCAACGTCAATGCCCCCCTCAAACGTGGGAGCAGGAGGGCTGGCACCTGATCTCCATTTCACAGTCTTGGTCTTGTTGCTAGAGCTTCGGCTGTTGGCCCTTGAAGCACATCCACGAGAACCATGCTGTCGGCCAGATTGACCTGAACGAGCAGAGGGAGAGTTGCTTGGGAGTTTCCACCTTCTTCAGAACCTGCAGCTCTGTTAGAACCTTCGGCTTGTCCAGAACCTTCGGCTGGGACAGAACGTTCAGCTCCATCAGAACCACCTTCACTTCCATCAGATTGGGACGCGCCAGTCAAGTCAGCGTCCGAGGCCGAGAGTATGAAGATCGTCAGATCCATAGTCTAGGGGAACGTCACGGTTGAAGTCCATCTCAAGTCAGCCAGGGCGTAGAGCACCAGAACCACAGCACCTAGTCCAGATATGCCAGGAACGTCGCTACCAATGCCAATCTATGCCGGAGCCTAGATCTAACACACCATGGGGTGCAATGCTCAAGCGCTTTTATGTCGCGACGAATGTCCCGCCTCGAGCTGTTATACATTGCGGTGGCTTATGGAATCCTCACATGTTGTGCCAGCATGCAGCATCTGATTCATATGACCATGTGACATCACCTCAGATTGACACAAACAATACTTCGCCCGATAAAGTACAAAATCCAGCAAACGAGTGACCTGCTTTGCCATATTGGACAGACCAAAAGACCTGTGCCAAGCTCAACCTCAGTTTATGTTGAGCTTCTATTTGGCTTTTGAAAGCCATTCCATCCAAAGGATGACCATCGTGGAGCTCATACTGAGCCTGTCTTAAGTCTACATTCTGCCTATACTGTGCCATGTGAGGGGATGTTGAACGCACCCATTTTCAGCCACTGTTGTGAGCTTTTGGGGAGCGTTGTTGAGTTTAAAAGAAAAAATGCTAGTTTGAACATATTATTCAGCCACAAAGAATTTGAGTTATGTTGAACAAATATTGGCTTGGCACTCCCAACCAAACCTGCCAAGAACAGGAACAATTGAATAGGTCTTTGTTTGATCTATTGGGGCTCTGCAGGATCAAACACGTACCAAATACATTCACAATACGCTCACCAAAACTCTCCGGATCTCTCGGTTTCTCGAGGCCTTCTCAGCGGAGGCATGAGGTTTTCTTCAGCAGGCCACAAGAGGCCACAAGAGACGACAGCGGTAGCGAACTCAGCGAACTTAGCAAACTCTGGAATCAGGTCCAACAGCCCTATGGAGTCCTAAGGAATCCTACGGAGTCCTACAGTGCACCCTGCGGACCACGTGACACTCACAAGTGGAATCGAAACTTCGGACCAGATAGCTGACACTTAGGAGCTGATACTCACATAAAGTATTCTGAAGTGCTGGCCTTATGAAGGTTATTGAAGGTTGACCTTGTGGATCATCAGCTTATATCAAGCGGCAAGCCAAAAGATATGCGGTCATGACGAACCTGCTCTGGCCAATTCACAGTCATGCAACTCAGAATCTTCTGCAGCACCGCATCAAGCCAACATCCACTACTCCTTTTTTCAAGCAGCAGTTTTGCTACGCTTGTGACGTGAGACTTACTCTCATGCAGCACAACTTCGGTGACAGCATGAAATAAAGTCACCACGGAGGTTCACTTTGTGACTTGAATTGAATGTGTAGTGCTAAGATCAAAGCATTGCTGGGGACTTGT